TTGGCCCTCCATATCTGCAGGCTAGCTATTCATGAACTGGAGCCTTCATGGATGCTCCCGCCCCATTATCATCAGTGGTAGCGCATGAACACAGTCAGACCAACGTAGCCACAGATGCTTTGACATCTATTGACAACAATGCAACTTGAGGTCCTGAGATTTTTGGTATCAGGGGGAGGGTCCAGAAGCAAAACCCTGCCAATATGGAAGGCCAAGTGTAGTTCTATGTATATCCTCTCAACACACCCTGGACTCACTGTTTAACTGCTGCAGCCTTCTCATGGCCATATTATGGCTGGTGGAGAATAGAAGGGATCAGAGAAACCTTTGACTATGTCTATCTATCTATCTATCTATCTATCTATCTATCTATCTATCTATCCATCTACTCTCTATCACTCCACCTTTTCCCCAGCATCACACTCAAAGCAGACCATAGCCAGATGCAAAATGATGAAATAATCAGCTGAGATCTGCTGGGTTCCTCCAGAGGTCTCATGGGATGATGTAATAATTCTGCATCTGGCAATGGGGACATAGCCAGATGCTTTGCCAATCCTCCCAGCTCTCCACCAGCCACAGTGAGTTGTGGGGGAGGCTTTGGTTGTTGCAGAGGCTGGAAAATAATGCCAGCCTGTATACAAAAATATACTGGCATAATGTGGACTCATACTTGCATATGTCACTAGCAGGATTCCAGCTACATTTAACCCTGTGTGCAGAGATTTATATTATACAAGTCCCTTGTAGGATCCAGGCCATAGTTTGTAACATTGCCTACTTACTGTTGATGGGCATTTCTGAAAGGCAGTTTCCTTGCTTTGTATGAGGAACCATTATGAGATAGCCTAAACTCTGGTCTTAAACCAGTAGGGTTTTGATCACTGAATTTTCCTTGTCACCTACTACTTTTTATCAGCTTGTTGAAACTACTCAGCACCTCAAGTTTCAGAGCAGTATAGATAAAGATTCCCACTTGATTCAATTGCAGAGAGGAAAACTCTTTCAAACCTGGGTCCATGCCCAAATATACAAAACCAAATATTTTACACTACAAGGGATTGTTGGAAGAGATTCTCTGTTTTCCTGCATGTTTGCCCTGACTTAATCATTGTGTATCTTCAAAGGTAACTATCTTCTCAAATGTGTGGTACAAAGAGCCCCACCATTCTTTAGCCAGTGAGCAAACACAGAACGTGTGTGCATCCAAATCCAATCAGAGCTGCTTAAATGTTTTCTGTGAGCAATGTTTAACCTAACAGACAGCCGCTGAGAATCAGATGCCACAGTGCCTCAACCTTCCAGTAGAGTCAACCTTAAAAGCCACATTTGTTTCTTGAAGGGTCAAGCCCAATGCCAATCCAAGAGGAGTGATGGGCAACTGCAGAAGGATTGAAGTCTAACTTTAACCTGCATGACCCCTAACTGTCATGGAGGTTACATCAGGCTGGACTGGAAGTGATGTCATATCATTCCTGGGTGCCATATCCAGCAAGCATCTGGCCAGTTTTTCCCACATTGGAATTATTGGGGGTGGGGGGGTGGGTTGCATAAGCTAGATGCATGTAGAAATGCACTTCTGGACTACTCCTGCAAGATGGTTATCCAACCTCTGAACATCCTGATGAATGGGAGTCCACCACCCTCCAGGGGAGACTGGTCCCTTGTTAAACAGCTCTTCCAATAATAATAATAATAATAATGGTGGCAGGGTTGGGGACATTTTTTAAACAACAACAACAACAGCAAACCAACAAACCAAAACTCAAGGTTTTTGGTTTAAACCAGTATTGTTTTTTGTTTGTTTTTGCATGAATGTGTACCATAACAATAATATAGGACTAAATCAGAAAATTAAGTAGCAATATGCAGTTCAGATGTTATGGTCACTAGCTTAAATATTATTTTTTCTTCTTAAAAAGTGCTCTTTCACAACACGTTGTTTGGGCTGAATGTATGTTAATTGAAGGATTTGTTTCTAAATGGCATTTCTTGAACTATAGCGATTAAAATGAAGCAACTGACACTGGATACTGGTCTAACCATGAACAACTCAATATACTATTAAAGTTAAAATGTTTACATTCAAAGCATCATTGTTATTCCAGTAAGAGGACTGTTGTTGTTGTTAGGTGTCCTGGAGTCGGTTCCGACTCATGGCGACCCTGTGGATGAGACATCTCCAAGAATCCCTATCTTCCACTGCCTTGCCCAGATCCTGCAAGCCCTACCCCATAACCCCCCTGATCGAGTCTATCCATCTGGTTTATGGTCTTCCTCTCTTTCTTCTACCTTCTTCCTTTCCTAGCACTAGTGTGTTTTCTAGTGATCCATGCCTTCTCAAGATGTGGCCAAAGTACGATAGCCTCAACTTGATCATCTTTGCTTCCAAGGAGAGCTCTGGTCTGATCTGTTCAAGAACCCATTTGTTTGTCTTCTTGGCTGTCCATGGTATCCTAAGTACTCTTCTCCAGCACCACATTTCAAATGAGTTGATTTTCTTTCTGCCTGCTTCCTTCACATTACATGGTAATTGAGAATACAATGGCTTGAACAATTCTGACTTTAGAACTCAATTGTATGTCTTTGTATGTCTTTGCTCTTCAGTATCTTTTCCAGTTCTTTCATAGTTACCCTTAAAAAACAGTAATAATAGTCAGACTTTTTTTAAAATGAATAATCAATTTAAAAATTAGGTGTGGTGTTTTTTGTTTTTTGTTTTGGTGTTTACTTTTTAAGTAATTTGATTTAAACCAGCCAATCCTGAAAATAAGGCTATGGTAGTACTGAATCATTGCGTGTATGCAGTCAAGGACTGGATTCAGGTGAATAAACTGAGGCTTAATCCAGCCAAGACAGAGGTGCTGTTGGTTGTGTTGTAGATAGCTTTAAATTTATTATTAGGCAATGTATTATAGCCTTATTTTTTTTTACATATAGAAAATTAGTAAATATTTGTATGTTTATTTTATTTTTATTTTTTTGGTTGTTCAATAAATCCACCCCAACACTCAGGTCCTCTGGGAGACATATGCCTTTACCAGCCAGAACTAAACTAGCAACTATCACCCAGAGGACATTTTCATCTGCCGCCCCTATAATGTGGAATGACCTGCCAGGAGAGATTGGAGAGCTTAATATGCTGTCTGAATTTAAAGTAGTTTTAAAGGTCTATCTCTTCTGGCAGGCCTATCCAGTCGATTTTAAACTTGAATTTTAAATTGGTATATTTTAATCTAGATTATTTTAATGTGTAATTGTCATTTTAATCCTATGGCTATGTATTTTATCTTATGTGTTTAATGGTCAGTTATATATTGTATTTTAAACTGTCATTATACCAAAATATGATCTGAATAATATCCCAACAGAATTTACTAACAATGTAAGAGATAGATTTGCACTATTAAATATATTTGATCAAGAACCAGAACCAGAAGAACTATGGGCAGAAACCATAAGACATATTTAAGAAAGAAATGCAGAAAGACACTATTGGTGGCCAAAAAGAAAGGGAAGAAACAATGGATAGTGGATGAAATGCTTCAAGCAGTAAAGGAAAGAAGA